CTTCTTGTCACCAACACCACCGGGCCAGGCGCGGACGGCGTAATCGGTGGCCTCCAGGGAGATGGCCTTGAAGCCAGTTGGGTAGTAAGGACCAACGGGGCTGGCAATAACATACAGGAGAGCGGATCCTGGTGGGCCAACGCCCAGGGTCTTCTGGGTACCAATCATGGTAGGACGCAGGTACAAGGAGTAGCCACGAGCACTATGGAGGTTAGTAATGATGTCCATCTGGTGTATACAAGATATGCTCACTCCGGAATGAACCGACTGTCGAGCTTCACAAATTCTCCAATGATCTTCGTCAGTGCGTCACCATCCACGGTAGGAAGAGCAATGCGCGCAGAAGACTTGTTTAGGCGCTCCATATTCTTGTTGGGGCGGAACAGACGGATGCCGCCGGTACTGTCCTTGTATGCCTTCATGCCCTCGAAACATTCGAATGCATAGTGGAACACACAAGTTGCAGGATCCAAGCTGAGGTTCTGGTAGGGGACAATACGAGGTGTGTGCCATCCGTCGGTAGCTGTCCACTCCACGGAGAGCATATGATCTACAATTGCTTCCATTCAGTGGCTGGAAGGCAATAAGGTGCAGAGATTCCCTTACCTGTGAAGTATTTGCCAAAGACAAGATCCTTGGAGTCCATTGGCTCCTTGGGGGTAGTGGTCTTGGTGATGGTCAATTTCGAGGCATCAAGACCTGGGAGCTGGGAGGCTGCCGCCGTGGAGGCGCTGAAAGCTCTCTGCCATGTCCGGCTGGCGGCAATGTTCTGTGACGAGAGGACGCGGGGCATTGCAAGCCCGGTCAGTGCCTGTCGGCGAGCTAATTGGTGAAGCGACTTCATGACTGTGGTGATGTTAGGGACGTTCCAAGGGCCAGCCAAGGGTGTAGAGAGTGGAGAATGTGTCAATTGAGTCTGTGGAAGAATTATAAACGTACTGAAATCGAGGAAGTCAATGTGGGTTTATATCACAAGTAGAAAGATGACTCCGCACCAGAACTGCAGTGTCTCTGCGGAGCTCAACAACAACTCCGATGACTCGGAAGCCCAGAATGCGAAGTTCTGCCACCGCCCTACAGATACGGAAAATTGCTGCCATATTGGCCAATCAGCGGCTGTAAATTAGAGTTGTCCGCCGACTTCGGCTTCATTCGGTTTTCTACGGTTTGTGTCGGTTGTGCTGAATTGAGTCGCCAAGAAGAGTTCATATGCGCAGAGCTCGATCTATACAGCAAAATATGACCTGAAAAGGTTCAAAATCAAGGATATGAGCTCTTTAAGCTATGTACTCGATAATGATTGTCGCACTGACACTACATACACCCGTGGACTGATACTGCGCCATTCTAAGACTTTAGAAATCTAATCCAGACGATGTCTTTTCGGATTGAGTATCAGGAGTTGTTAACTATGCTGCACTAAGTTCATAACCTGCTGTGCTAACCTGCTGCGTCAGCGATAAACACGTTGGTGCCTAAGGCAACAAACATCTATTGACAAGATCACGTGATGAGTCCGATAGGCAGAGTAGTTGTAATCGAGGACTTGAGGTCGCATAGGTGGGATTATTGATCAAGTATGCAACCTGTGGACAATTACTCTCAGCCTTTGAGCTAATGTTTTGACACCCCATTAGCCATCGAGTTTCAACATCGGCTCACCTCCCTTTGGCACCCTTCTAAATTCCGCTGTATTATTGAAAATAAACATGTCTTGTGCTGGCTACACCGTGACGACACTGTGAAACGAACAACTCCCTTCATTCCGCCGACTATCGTTCAGACCAATTCTCGCCTGCGGGCTTATCACCATGTTTTCATCTGCGCTCAAGTCGTTCAGTTCCAATATTTCCGCCAATTACCAAATCTCCCCTAACCCCACCGTCTACTCCGGCCCCTGGAAAATCCACGATGCGAAGAAGAAGTCCACGGGAACGGCGGCCTCGGTGTTTATCTTTGATCGCAAGTCACTAGAGACACGCTCTAGTGGATTTGGAAGGAGTTCTGGGTCCCCCAAGAAACTCCAGGACGATGTGATCGAGCGGCTAAAGCGCGAAGCAAGCAACCTCGCGCGCCTACGGCACCCATCAATTCTTCAGGTGCTTGAGCCTGTGGAGGAGACGCGTAACGGTGGTCTCATGTTTGCCACGGAACATCTCACCGCCTCACTTTCCGGGCTGCTGCTAGAAAAAGACGACCAAGAGAATACCACACGCGCTGGTTCGCGAAGCAGCCGGTACGTGGTTGAGGAGGCTGATGGTACCCGGAGAAGAAGAGATGTGGAGATTGATGAGTTGGAAATTCAAAAGGGACTCTTGCAAGTTGCCAAGGGCCTTGAATTCCTCCACGAGTCTGCGGGCTTAGTCCATGGGAATCTGAACCCGGATGCCATCTATATCAATGCCAAATCAGATTGGAAGATCTCTGGTCTGGGATTCGCGGGGCCTCCGGACTCTTCTGAAACTCGTTCGTCGCTGCCGCCATTGGCTGTGTCTGAGGTCCTCTACCAAGAACCGAGGCTTCCCGCTTCAGTACAATTGACCCTTGACTACACGTCGCCTGACTTTGCCATGGACTCCAACGTATCGTCAGCTGCCGATCTCTTCTCTTTGGGTCTCGTCATCATCGCTCTGTACAATTCGCCGCATGTCTCGCCTTTGCAAACGCACGCAAACTTGTCCACATATAAGAAGTTGCTGAGCTCGCCGTCTTCCACTCCATCGCAGAGCAACAATTTCCTCTGTTCGAAGCCGATTCCCAAAGATCTAGTTTCTCATGTCCTACCGAGGCTCATTACCAGACGGCCTGCCCAACGCATGAATGCTCGAGAGTTCCAGCAATCACAGTACTTTGACAATGTGCTAGTTTCCACTATCCGGTTCCTGGAATCTTTGCCAGCAAAAACTCCTAATGAGAAGTCTCAATTCTTGCGTGGCTTACAACGGGTACTACCGGAATTCCCCGTTTCTGTCCTCGAGAGAAAGCTATTGGGAGCGTTGATGGACGAATTGAAGGATAGGGAACTGCTTCCGCTGATATTGCAAAACGTCTTCGGCATTCTACAGCGGATTCCCAACGGACGTCGCGTGTTCCCAGAGAGAATCATCCCTCGTCTGAAAGAAGTATTTGGAATTGGCTCGGGCAAGGGCGCTGCTGAACGCGACTCGAAGAAAGATGCAGGTCTCATGGTTGTGCTTGATAACATGAATCTGATTGCTGATAGTTGTTCGGGAATGGAGTTCAAAGATGGTGCGGTTTGTCAATGGAAACCTTTGAGTCTATATCTGACGTTTATTTCTAGATATTCTACCCCTGATTCGGCTCGGGCTGGATTCTCCCACACACACTTTGGTGGATGCTTCTCTTAAATGCCTCCCTGTGATGCTCCCGGTTCTTGATTTTAGCACGGTCAAGAACGAAGTATTCCCTCCGATTGCTGCCACTTTCAGTCGCACTAGCAGCCTTGCTATAAAGGTCCGCAGTCTGGAAGCTTTTAGTGTGCTTTGCGGGGCCTCCGCAGATGTTTCAGACGGGCTTGACGATGATTTATCCGGAATCCAGGCGACCAAGTCGAAACCAGCCAAGTCCTCGATTTTGGACAAGTACACCATTCAAGAAAAGCTTGTCCCATCTCTCAAGGCGATCAAAACGAAAGAACCATCAGTGATGATGGCATCGCTGAAGGTGTTTCGTCAGGTTGGAACCGTCGCAGACACCGAATTCCTGGCTTTGGAAGTCCTGCCGGTTCTCTGGAGTTTCAGTCTTGGGCCACTTTTGAGCCTTAAACAATTCAACGCATTTATGGCTCTGATAAAAACTCTTTCAACGAGGATTGAACAGGAACAAACCAAAAAGCTGCAAGAGCTATCCTCTGCCGCTGGATCAACGGGCTTCCACAATGGTGCCGACGAATTGTCGCAGTCCGCCACAGGACTCAGTTCGCCCGATGCGGACGGGGGTGCTGGCAGCTTTGAGCGCCTTGTTCTCGGAAAGAAGGCATCTCCCACGAATGGCCAGAGTATAGATATGTGGGGTAGTATGGAGCCAGCCAAGCCAGCCAAGCCAGCGGTCCCTAGCATGTCGCCTTCATTCTCCTGGTCTTCAAATAATGCAGGCATGACACAACAAGCCAATGCCTTAAGCCAGCAGTCTAATCTTGGTTTCCGTTCCATTACTCCAGATCAGAAATTGGGCTCTTTCCCGTCTCTTGCTCCTGCTCCTGCTCGGCAAGCTTCACCGGTTGCTCAAGCGTTCCCTACTATGCAGCCCTCATCTTCTGCCTGGGGAGCCCCGGCCAATGCCAATGTTCGATCTTCCACAGGCCCACCGGGTCAGTCTTTGAGTTCCATGTCGACCATGACACCCTCGAATAATATGTCCGGGTCAAGGTCAACTGCACAACCGGCACCCAACTACTCCTCATTCTCAATCCCCCCACCTCCTACAGGAAACATTTTGTCCAACAGCACTATAAGACCCCCTCCGATGAACACAGCCAACATATCCACGTCTTTCCAAGGCACAGCCGCGACACAACAGGGAACTCAAAAGAAAGGGTTAGACAAGTATGAGAGTCTGATATAAGGGACAATTCTTGTTATTTTCTGGCTGATACCCCCTTTTATTGCTGCTACTGCTATTAGTTATTGTACATTCCTCACATAGTAAATAGTAAATAGTAACTGCAACAGTTGTAATTAGGCAAAGTGACAAATTCAAAGCATTCACTTTACCAAATCGAAATCTTTGTCAAGCAATGCCGATCGGACTCCATCGGGGATCCGACCGTAACTAAGGAGCCACGTACCTGATTGGTGCTTCTCCATGATATGTCATACTTCGTCGTCAAACCCCTCCATATGTACTCTTTGCGTGGCATTGCGCCGCGCTTGTTCTCCCGGAGCTCCGTGTTACCTTTGTTACCCCTCCATCGGATATATAGCCTGTCGACTGTCAGACTGGCAAAAACCTTCTCCTCGCATCCCCATATAACTCGCGCCATGGACGAAAGCATCAAACAGCACTACCTGGCTGACTCGCCTCCTACTGTGGTCAGACTGGAAGTTAAGTCACACTTTGATACCCTCAAAGACCAAAATCTGAGAAAATATGCCCACTTCATGAGCAGGTATGGTATTCCTGTGTTCCTGTGTTCCTGGGGTCCGCCCGCAGTACCACATCTTCCAAGAGCTATTGGCAGCTAACCTTTCTCGCATGTGTACAGAGCCGCATTTGAGGGCACTCGAGTCACCCTGCGCCAGGTTTCCCCTGAGTCCGAACCTATATACGACCTCATCCTGTCACTCTACCACGTCTCCAATGGCGACTGGAATAGCCTCGCCGAGAAAACACAAGTTAGCTCCGAAGACCTCCGTTTCTTCCTCGAATATGCGGCGCAATTCTTGGGCAACTGCGGAAACTACAAGGGCTTTGGTGACTCAAAGTTCATCCCTAGGCTGTCCGCTTCCGCATTCGAGGCTCTGGCTTCGGCTACTGCAGAGACGAAGGCGGCCTTCCAGAAGGCTAGCACGACTGGAGGAGGGATCTACGAGACCAGTGAACAGTCGATGATGCACCTCGGATATCCCAAGGATGGCCACACTACCACCTACTACCCCGATTCGCCGACGATCTCACAGGAGGAGATCACGGCAATTGGTGACTTGATGGAGAAGAAGGGACTTGCGTTGGAGAATACTAGAATCCGGAAGACATCTTCGGATGATTTCGAGCTTTTGATCGCATCTGGGGTTTCGTCGCCTCCTGTGAAAGACCGGGATCTCGGTGATGTGAACACATTTGTACTTGATGGAGATCTGAAGGGAAAGACGCTGCGTCTTGTCTTCGGTGACTACCAGGAGGAGATGGCAAAAATCGCGCACAGCATCAAGCAAGCGGGACTTGCTGCCGCAAATGATAACCAGAAGAAAATGTTGGATTCATATGCTTTCTCATTTGGATGTGGGTCCATCGAGGCTTTCAAGGAGAGCCAGCGCGTCTGGGTTAAGGACCAGAAGCCCGTGCTCGAGACGAACCTGGGCTTTGTTGAAACATACAGAGACCCCCATGGTGTGCGCGGAGAATGGGAAGGCTTCGTTGCTTTGGTATGGAACGTGCTGAAATCACATACTGCCGTCACTGACATTTACAGGTCAATCTGGAGCGCACTCGAGCCTTTGGTACACTGGTGGATAGTGCCGAGAGCATGATTCCTAAGCTGCCCTGGGGTACAGACTTTGAGAAAGACAAGTTCCTCAGCCCCGATTTCACATCGTTGGAGGTCTTGACCTTTGCTGGCTCCGGTCTCCCAGCCGGCATCAACCTGCCCAACTATGATGACATTCGCCAGAACCTTGGCTTCAAGAACGTGTCTCTGGGCAATGTTCTTAGCGCCAAAGCTCCCAACGAGCCTATTCCTTTCATTGCTGAGAGTGACCAGGAGGTTTACCGCTCATTCCGGGACCCGGCCTTTGAGGTCCAGGTCGGCATCCATGAGTTGTTGGGCCATGGAACTGGTAAGCTGCTGCAGGAGACAGCGCCAGGGAAGTATAACTTTGACATTAAGAACCCACCCATCAGCCCAGTCACCAACAAGGCCGTGTCGACCTGGTACAAGCCTGGACAGACCTGGAGCTCGGTCTTTGGTTCCATTGCTTCGTCGTATGAGGAGTGCCGTGCTGAGTGCGTGGCTATGGTGCTTGCTTGCGACTTTGAAATCCTGAAGATCTTCGGATTCGGTGATGGCAAGGAAGACTTGGCCGGTGAGGCCGGCGACGTCTTGTTCGCAGCCTACCTTTCCATGGCTCGCGCCGGTCTTGTTGCCCTCGAGTTCTGGGACCCGAAGACCCAGAAGTGGGGCCAGGCACACATGCAAGCTCGCTACAGTATTCTACGCACCTTCCTCGATGCCGGTGATGACTTTGTCAAGTTGTCTTACAACAAAGAGGATCTCTCTGATCTAGAGATCCGTCTTGACCGGTCCAAGATTCTGACTCACGGACGCCCTGCTGTAGAGAAGTATCTCCAGAAGCTGCATGTCTACAAGAGTACCGCAGATATTGAGGCTGGTAAGGGGTTGTACGACGGTATCACCTCTGTTGACAGCTGGTGGGGAACCACTGTTCGTGACGTTGTTTTGAAGAACAAGGTCCCACGTAAGGTCTTTGTACAGGCCAACACTATCCTCGAGGGCGACCAGGTCAGCTTGAAGGAGTATGAACCGACTCTCGAGGGTCTGATTCAGAGCTTTGCAGAGCGTAACGTCTGATATATTTATATATATAAAAAAATTTGAAGTATGCAAATGAAATGCATATATAGTGCTTATGTCTTTCTCATGGAAATAGTTACTTGCACACATAAATCCTCCCTTCTGGTGTCTTTTTAGACCTGTGTGAATGACAACCTTTGTCATTGTGACTACCCCCTATTCCACACTACTCCGTACCCACAGTTGAACCAGAATTTCTCTACCAACTCACATTTGATTCTTGATGTTTCCTTGTGATATTCATGGAAAAAATACAAGATATCATGGGTTAAGACTGTGTGGATATGTATATATTCAAAAAGGTCCTAAATCTACATCAAAACTGGATTATGAAAATGATATTCAACTTTAATAACGAGTATCCCGCGAAAATTAGAAAGGAAAGTAGTTTACATTATGTATCTAAAATCCAGCTCTTAGATTCTTTTGAGAATTAGGATCAAAATCAAAGGTAGGCTGATAATCGTATGAAATGAGAGAGGTCTAGGCGGTTTTGCGGGGGGGTCCGACTGGAAATAGGTCAAACCCAACAGGCATACTCCATGAGGATATTATATCGACTTCGCTAAGCACGTCTAATATCATCCCACAATAATAAATCGACTCGAGAAATAGGAAATCCAAACTAACACAAAAGACAAGAGGACACGGCACGTGCCAAGGTTACGATGGCTAGTGAGGCGCTCGGACTTACCGCCGTCCACCTGGGCAAGTTGATCTACCCGTCTTCCCCAACCTCTAAGCGCTGTCTCTCTTTCTCCAACACTCAATCGCTGCGAATTTAGCAGATGAGAGCATATGTCTGTTGTACTCTTTTTGGAAATAATTCTTTCATCCCGGTGCTGAAAGTTATTGAATTGGAAACCCGTCACTCTCGAACACGGCCGACTTGGACGAGACTCGACCCAGATCAGTCGCATTGCTAGACTAGGTCAGGATTTGATCATTATTGTTGCGCAGATTGGTCTGTCTGACGTGACTCTGGCAATAATAGAAAACCACGGTGTCGTGAGAAACGCCGCCGTCGGACCTATCAACCACGGCGTGCCCGCCCCATCCAACGGACTCCCTAGAGGAGGACGACGATTATTACACCGCACCTCCACCGCACTCCCCAGCATCAGCGTCAAGCTCCTCACCCGCATATCCTCCGCCATTTTCATCTCTTAATTTCTCGTCGCTACCAGACACCAATCGCCCATATAAAGTTACTGAACCTGGACCCGCTTGTCCTCCAGCCTTAGCGCCTCCAGCACCTGTCGAGGAGTCGCTCGAGCCGGCCCCATCTTCGGCAGTTGTTGCTGACACAAAAGCGTCTTTCACCGAACCAAAAAACGAGGGCTCTTCCGACGACGGTGAACCGCCGCCGCCATACACAGAAGGCTATAGTCCACTTGAGTCATTCACCTACGTGATGGCTGCTGCAGGAGGTGCCTCCAGCATCATAACACAGGTCCAGCAGACCGGGGGTCCGCCAATTAACACTCTTGGTGGTATGTTTGGTGGTAACAAGGGCCGCTTGATATTCTTTGTGTTAACGTGTGATAATAGATATCGGCGGAGATGAACACGTCGGTCTTGACCTTCGGTAGGATCTCACATTGATTCATATCTCAATCATGCATGAACTGACAAGTTTATAGTGGTACGCGGTTTACTCTTTCGCGAGATGAGCTGTTAACTTTGCCGGAATTCGTGCTGCTCTCCCTTTTCCCCAATGGCCTCCTCCCGGATGGACATTCTACAAACGGTTTCCATGATGGGGATGTATTCCCAGTTGACGTACGCCAATCCCTATCCTGAATATTAAAGTCTCTCTGACAGTTATCATCCAGTATGACCCGGTCTCACTCCAGTACATGCTGGATTTCTTCCGAACTGTTGCTCAAACCATTCCCTCATCTCTGCCTTCCGGATCAAACTCACCAGACATGGAATTATCGGACCCAATGCAGGGCTCAGCCCGTGACATGCTGCAGGACCGTGCTGGCATTATTGTCCTACGGGAGGACCTTGACTTCTATGTGATCCCACCTCGCGCCGACATTGGACACGATGAAATGCTTGAAGTCAAGCGGGCGGCGGGTAGGTCGCTGTTGCGACAGGACGGCATCTTTTCTGGATTGCGCAAGAGTGAGGAGATTGGGTCAACCGAGCAGCATCTTATTGAAATGCTGACAGCCGGGTGAGTAGAACTCAAGATTTCAATTATGGTCCAATGCTAATATACAACGCAGAGGATTTGATCGTGCTGACCAGTGGGGTCACCGCGCCCCGGAGCCTAACAAGGCAGTAATCTGCAGTCTTGCACTGGCCAAACTTCGCACTGATATCCGTGGAGACCTGTCAAACAACAATTCTGTGGGCATGGCCCAGAAGCTTCTCCTGTTTTGGCGTAAGCCTGCCCGCCGCTGCTGGTGGGAGGGCATTGAGCTGAACGACGTTGAGGGCGTTGAGGAGCCAGTAAAGGTCTGGATCCGGCGTGTGTGGACTCTGGAGATGGTAAGACCCCCTTCCTCGGTGGACTCAAAACTCTTGATAGCTAATTCCACCGCAGAGTGTTATTGGGCTCCGCTGATTTTTTTTCCCTTCTTCTTTCCCTTGCATGTGCGATTATCATTCCCCCGGCCTTGTGCCTCGAAGTTTCGACAGTTATTATTTTTTTCTAAAGTTGCATTTAAATATGTCTGCAACAAATACTCAAGTTTTCATCTTACCGACAGCAGCGCCGGTGTACTCAACAGTTTGGGTGTTCTCAATCCTTTCGGCGCATTCATTTTCTAGTCTGATTGGTAAAAGATTTCTTGGACATCAGTTAGTTTTGGCTGTGGAGATTGAATATATGGTGCAGATCTAGTTGGCAATTGTAGCCTTTCCGTCACATTACGTTTACTTGTTTTGGATTTGTGTCTTGTATCCATACGACAGTGAGCCTAGTCCACAATGGCCGTAATCCAAAACAATGGGCAAAGACCAGTGGCTGTTGATATGGACATGGCGCCCCTAGTGTCATATCACAATCTTGAGGGTGTCTACTCAGAAGTACACCCGGATACAGGCGAGGATACGGAGGGCGTGAAGAAGTTCTTCAAACAATTCACTTCTTATTCGCTTCTTTCCCTGGTAGGGTTGGAAGCCATACGACCCCGAGACACCTAGCAGTATCTACGAGGCAGATGAGCTGAGATATATACCTTTGGCTCGGTCTTTGACAACCCGATCCCATTACCTTGGCCATAGTCGGAGATCCAGCTAGTCTGTTCCTTGGTCCAACCCTACACTGCGGGAACCTGGATCAACCCATACAACGCATAAACAATGTCATTCCATTTCACTTGATTGTCGGGTTGGCTTGCTGCTATAAGACTATAGAGATGCCTAGGTGGAATGAATCAGCTTCTGTCCCTGAACCAGTAGCATATGCCGCATACATACATAGTCTGCGGATCAGAGTCGTAAATGGTCCTTCATATGCGAGAAGGGCTGATCTTAAACCCGTGATACCCGAGTCCACTTGTTCTTGATTAGAATAACTGTTGTTTCTTTGAGTATAGGAGTGTAGAATACGAACGAACCTATAGAGGACCATGAACTTCTCACGGATGGTCTTGGGAAGGCTTGGGTGCAGCCGCCAGAATTCTTCCTTAGTGATGGGCTTGCTAGGAACTGTAGCCCATACCAAGTAATCGATATAACCACCTAGGATAAGACCATCATTGCCCTGTGTGTCTTTGCGGAGGGTAAGAAGTTGTGGGGCCACGTAAGACTAGGCGAACCATAGAGTCTTAAAGACAGCGATCTCAGCATGCCCCGGTAATTTTGTAGCTTGAACTGCACGCCGGACAATATCGTGGAAACTGTGTGTGAAGATTTGTCTGCAGGTAGATTCTTATTATACTAGCTCCAGAGCCATTCTCGATATAACAAGTGAATTTCCTGGCAGCGAAGGAGGGGCCTAGTCCTTCCCTTATCTTGTGATCAGTAAAGCGATAGATGTGCTCGGAAAGCTATTTATCAATTACCCAGTTTTCCATGAACAGGGTGTTGTTGTTATTAGCAGGAAAGCAGGAAACTTGACGACAGTCTCACAAAAGTCTTCACAAAGTTAGGATGCTTTGTGTGTATATAGTGCGTGAGAGCGAGAGAGAAAGAATATATATATATGATGTGATGTAAGAAGACGTTATAGTTAGCTATATTTTCCACGATTAGAGGCAGTTTCATAGCAATTCGTATGTCAAAGGTTATATATATAGAATATGCTTTTTGAACTGCCATCGTATACACCTAAAAAGACATCCAAAAAGAAATATTGTAGTGAATACTACAGTGGGGAGAAAGCAGAAGAAGAATCATGATCTATTCATAACTAACAAACCAGGGGTTATATATCCTAGAAAAACCATCTAAAAGTCTGTGACAAACAAGAAAACAAGCAAACAGACATGCTTGGGATGATGTTCCTGTTGGAACATCCAAAAGAACGTCTTAAAAGACAATTAAAAAGACATGACAAGTCCATTCTTGTCCTCAGTTGGTTTTGATTTGATGGCCTGAGGCATTAATCACATGATGCCCCCTGGAATGGGACTAGCGTGGAATTGGGCAAAGTCGCGCAGAATATCGATCCCAAAGCCAATCTCTCCAGTCGAATCCTATCTGGATGCCTTTGACGCGGTCTTAATTTTTGTCACACGTTTACTTTATGCTGTGGCATCATACAAGTACTCGTTGTTAACTCTTTCGCGCTTGGACCATTCTCAGTTGTGCCTCACTGCAGTGATCAGCCCTTCGAACATCGATCCGATCAAAACAATCGCAAGCTCTCTATCCTCCCCGCCCATACCCTCGAAGGGGCATGTTATTGTGCAATTGAATCGCCAACATGTCCCCTCTCCGAGGATATATCAGCTCCTACCCTCCGCGCATGCGCCAGTATGGAAACGCGTTGCTCACACCTGTCAATCCTCCGTCTCAGGCCGGCCCGACTCCGCGCACCACGAAGCGTGGAACTACAGCCATCAATTATGCAGAAGATGGATATGATGACGAGGATTTTGATGAGAACGATGGACCCCGGCGGCCGACGGGACTGAGGAGTCTTCGGCGCGAAGAATCCGCTACCGACAAGTTGGTGCCCTACTCAGAGAAGCTGGGCAAAGAAGTGCATGCGCCGGTGGAGGTGCAAGGCCTCTTTCGCGAGTGGATGATCAAGAGAATGTTGCGACCAGCGTATGTTCCCCATCGTCAGGACTGATGTGGCCATTAACGACAGTCGCCACTGTCTTTCCCGTCTATCCATAAATCTGGCTAACATACAGCGTGGTGATTCTAGGTGTGCCGATCAACTGCAGATTCAAGCGCAACTCCCCTTGACTCTCGTTCCCATCCGAATTGACGTCGAAGTCCCCGCTCATCAACCTCTCGAACCATTCCCTTTCCCACGTACTGCCGTGGACCCTAGCATCAACCAGACTCTTCCTGCGTATCGCAGACCCGAACCATTACCCCCCTTCCGTATTAAGGATACCTTCTTATGGAACCTTCACGAATCACTCTCAACGCCTGAAGAATTTGCTGTTGGTTTCGTTCGCGATCTTGATCTCCCAAATCCTCAAGCCACGACCATGACCATCAGCAATCAGATCCGACAGCAGCTTGAGGAATACGCCGGTGTTGCTCTCCACCCTCTCTTCCAGAGCACAGATGCAGGCACCGTGCCCAGTGTTCTGCCCCAGACTGAACCGTCAAGAGACACGCCAACGACACCAGCTGTTGCCAACGTTGAGACACCTGATAGCCGGCCTAATGTGACGACCACTGTCACCGTAACCAAGGAAGCGCTGGTAAATGACAGCCTTCTGAACCCAGATGACGCATATCGGTGCTTGATTACTCTCAACATCAACCTGCAAAACAAGCTGTACACAGACAAATTCGAATGGTCTCTGCTACACCCACCTGGCATGGCTGAAGAGTTCGCGCGCATCACTTGCGCAGATCTCAGCCTTGGTGGTGAATGGGTTAGTGCGATTTCGCATGCCATCTACGAAGCGGTCCTGAAATTCAAAAAGGAAGTCTGCGAAAGCGGTGCGCTTATCAATGGCTACGGTAACGAAATTGAAAATTTGGCAGCCAACGGCGTGGAGGCTGGCTGGCGTTACGACCCTGAAACAATTTGTGATGGGTGGCAACCTCAAGTCGAGACACTGTCTAAAGAAGAAATCGAACGGAGAGAAGGTGACCGTGAGCGTCAGATCCGACGTCTGCGCCGAGAAACAGCCAGATTTTCTTCAACCACGGGCATCACACCTGAGATCTCAAGGCAGAACAGTGGCAATTACTTCGAGGTAGAGAGTGAGACTCCACTCGGACGCGGAGAAAGGAATAAGCGCAAGCGCCGGTTCCGCAGCTTGAGCCCTACGGGCAGAAGTGGCACTCCTGGTGGCCGAGGAACTCCTGATACCGGATCAGGGGCTGGATATGGTGGCGGTGGTGGCACGCTTTCCGAATGGTATGTGGCCGCTAGACATGTTTCGCTGGAATATTCACTAATTCTTTCTGTCTATAGGGAACGTCAAAGCTGGAGATGCAAGAACTGTGCTGTGTGGGGCACAGCAGTTTGGGCTGTGCGTGATGGCCCAGATGGCCCACGAGTAAGTGCTACTTTAGAACGTACCGCAAGCAATTTTTTTAACATCTTCTCCAGACACTCTGCCATAACTGTGGGCTGCTCTACGAGCGTGATAAGGTTGCACCAGAATGGTCCAAGGATCTTCACCGTCACGATCTTCCCATTGGGCGATACTAAATCATCAACAGCATCTTTCCTTACATCAACCTTAATGTACTATGTTAAGCTTCAATGACCTACATCACGCCACCTATATCTCCATGTTCTTCTCAACCATTTAATCCGCTGCTGTTGCACCTTTTCTCACCTATCTCGGCGCCACGGCGCATCGCCTTCTGTTGCAGGCATCTCTGCTTTCAATTTCCATCGCAAAATTCGGGGCGTTATTATCATTGTGAATCATCATCTTTTTCTTAGTCAAGGTCTTTCTTGCCTTCAACGCATGTTCTTTGTGCGGACGATTAGAAGGCAAAGAGCTACTAGGAAGTAGAGTAGACTTTCAATGAAATTAGACAATAATACACCTATCCTAGTTAAGATACTCTTTGATATTAATACCCCGGAAACACAATCCGCTGGCAGCCTATCTAAACAAATCAACCTTTAAGGAATTGCAGGATACGGTCAAAGCCCCCAGGTTCCTTAACCCAGTGGCCGTCACCTTCTGCCCCAGTAAACTCCTGCCAGTCAACGCGTACCATAATTCTCCGTAGAACTTGACATGCCTGCCGTCCAAGCTCCACAGATACCCATGGATCGTCTGCTCCATGACTTAGAAACACAGGCGTAGATAAAATAGAACTATCGACAGGCTGGTCAGAGCGCAATGTATCACCGGCAATTTCATCAAAGAAGAACCCGGATATTAAACTCTGTGTCTGAGAGCTACCAGGACTAAGAGACAGATCAGAAAGCAACTGCTCTAGCTGCTGCGCGAATGGCAACCAACCACAAAAGCCAAATAGTCCACCTAGTGGTCCTTGGATTCGGCCTGTCGCAGTTGCAGCGAAGAACACCCACAAGGCGGTTGCCATCCCCTGACTCATACCTCCAAGGTAGATGTGGGAGAACCGTCCATCTAGTAGTCGAGCTTCCTCCTCGATTGTATCGAGAATATACAAGACTGACTCTCTTATTCCCTCTTTCTGTAATTCTTGTCGTTCGTGGATATTGCCTAAGGAGTAGGCGTCAAACCAGGCGCACATTTCCTCTTCGAATGTAGTGCTCCATCGGTCGCGTGATGTTGGAAACACCCAGCGATAGGAGGGTAGACAGGAAGGCAGGTTTTTGTTCTTGGAGGTTGAAGATGAGAAGAGCTCTTCGGCGAACTCAGGGCCATCGCTGCCGCGACCATGGAGTAGGATAACCGTGTGGGTGTGGGGGGTTTGGGGATGGTGGATGTGAGTTTGAGGAAACTCCATCCTTTCTATCTGTAAATACTTATTTTTTGGATTCTAGGAGATGTTAGATAACTTTGGGATTTTGTTTCGGTTGGGTATCCTAAGATCCTAAAGAATCAGCGGTCAGCGATTGAGGTGGACGTTCTAAACAACATTACATCTCTACCTCGTACAATATTACAAGGTGCCTCAGGCGCATGTTGTATGTTTATTCAGATATAAATAGCTATGTATTTGCATCTGGGTTTGGTGACAACTCAGCCATGCTAACATATGCTTCCAAGGTTATACAAGGTAGGTGTGCCTGGGTGCCTGAGGCACTTCCCATGTAGTAGATAGCTTCTCTCTCTCTTCTCTGTCTTGCTCTCTGTCTCTCTCTCTCTCTCTCTCTCCATTCCTCCCTTCTCTCCTCTCTCTGTCCACTTTGTTCATAGGAATCCACATACATTGTTTCTTCAATCAAAGATCTACAACGTAGATTCTCCATCACAAATTCAATTTGAACCTTCATACTCACGGCAAAGATGGCGCCAGGTCCATCTGTGCCTCTTGAAATAAAGTACGCCAATGTATCTGACCTGAGTGCACTTGTGAGCATTGAAATTCGGTCTTTTCCCTCGTCCAATTATATGCGCAGCACATACAAGGGATGTGATCCATTGGCAATTCACACATTCAAAACAGTCTCTTCCCTCGAGTATTTCGCCAAACCAGAGTGCCATATTCTAGCGGGTGTCGACACTGAAACCGGTGATATCATCGCATACAGCCGCTGGAATATACCAGCTATTTACGAGTTCAAAAGAGCCGTGGACGCAAGTCTGAGCAACGATGCACAAGCGCAAATTCAGAATATGTGGGCGTATGCCCCAAAGTTGAATAGGGGTACCTACACGTTCTACGAGGAAATGATAAAACGTAGTAGGGACATACATCTCAAGGAAACTGATATTGGTTCGTCAACCCATTTTGCTGTATGAAAACTTTACGATATTGACTGCTAACAATACTACTAGTCCTTGAACTGCTATGCGTACTACCAGAGTATCAAAGAATTGGAATAGGAAGTGAGTTTTTAAAATGGGGTATTGAAAAAGCAGACTCTAGTAACGCCCGGATATATCTGGAAGCTACGATGGAAGGAGTGCCAGCGTATTTGAGGCACGGGTGGAAGATCGTTGAAGAAATACAGCTGGATTACACGGAGCGTGGTGGAGAGGGAAGCCAGAAGTTCGCATTGATGATCAGAGAGCCCAAGGAAACAGGGGCTTGACATAAGCCTCTTTTCTCTTTGTGTCTATCCGACAACCCGTGACTGTATCTCAATAGGAAAGCCAAAATTGATCCCGCTTTATATTATACATAAGCTAAAAGCATCCTTTCACTCATTCCACTTTTCTCGTGCATAGATCAAGCTAGGCGCACATTGCCTGTTGAGATGATGTCGATTCCAAGCTGGTCTGGCCAACGCGCACCCACACACCAACTTGTCATTAAAGGGCTCTTCGACAGCCTCACGCAGCGCGAGAAGCTCTATGTCCATCATTTGGCACAAGCTGCTTGGCATGGCACCAGAATAATTATCCGTCAAATATCGCCTGAGGGGACGGGAATTTTTGATTTCATCTTAGGGTTACCAAAAGCCTGTGGAGGAAAGTGGAATGACCTAGTCAATCAAGGTTACGTCAATCAAGACGAGTTAGACGACTTCCTCGAATTTTCAGGATTATTTCTATCAAACCTGGGAAATTACTTCGTAAATTATTTATCTCCTGCATTCCCACATCATTCACTAACAGTGCGTAGGGGGAGGGAGACAGGAAGGTTGTCCCTAGTCTTTCTGCAGCTGCTCACATTTGTGCAGGGATTTCTGACAAATGATCATTGCGACACAACTCAAATCAGCAAGATAATTATATAGTTATTCATATGCGTAAGGCTAGTCTACCACTGGTATGTCACCCCGCAATCGTATCCTAAAGCTTGGAAAACATGTCCTCTTTCTGGGGCCGGACATCCAGTTCATGCGTCCAAGTACTGCGTGGCTGAGTATGCAAAAACCAATATATATGAGCAAGGTCGGTCGGCTGCAAAAGATGTGCTTCAATATTCTCCAATTTCTCAGCTGCATTCTCTCGTTGCCACTGTCGCTTTTTGACCCCGCCAACCAGCTTCCCATCAACGGGGCTGTCGATGATAACGTGCGATGCGTGAATGCCCCGATTTTGATATTCGCGAGCGACAACTTGCGCCAACGAGCGTAACCCGAATTTCCCCGGCGAGAAACTGCCCAGGCCAGGCGACCCGCGTAGAGAGCCTGTGGCACCAGTGTAGATGATAGTCCCTCGTTCTCTGTCCAGCATATCCGGCAAAACGCATTTGGTGGACCAGAACGCACCAAACAGATTGATTTTGGTGAAGCCTTCAAACTCCTCCGTCGTCGTTTCTAGTAATTCTCTGCCATTAATTCGACGAGCACCGGCATTGTAGACGAGGACTTGCACGGGTCCTAGTTCATCGCGAATCACTCTGAAACTCGAGATGACAGATTCCTCGATGCGCAGGTCAGTGATGTAGTACCGCGATATGCCCACGCCAAATTCAGCATCGATGCCGGTGGCTATGGTCCGGAGGCTGTCTTCAGTACGAGCAAGCAGTGCGGTGACGAAGCCTTTTGAGGCGAAGTGCCGGGCAACAGCTGCGCCAATTCCAGGGCCACAGCCTACCACAGCGATAACAGGCTTGTTTTCGGGATTGTATGACATGTTGAAGGGCGATTTGGGAGCAACGATAGCCACCGATGTAGCTACACTCTTGAAATATGCGATTTCCGTGAGGTCACTATTTCCAAGATCACTAAGTGTATCTTGTTGCCCCGACAAACCCGAGGTTGAAAATAAACAGTTTCCATATTTCTGAAGTGCTCAATGGCCAAGTAGTTATGAGTAATCCGATGCACTCGGTACCTAGGTAATGTTATAAAAATGATTATTCTCTCACTCGAATGCCGAGATCATCGCCTCGGCATGATCACTAATCAACCATCTTAGCCCTGGAGAGAGGGTTACCACCTTTGTTCAATTTATCTAATTGAATTGCAGAGTTATCACACAAGACGCACATCCTAGAACCTCTCGGATTTCGTTACTGCATCACACGAAGCGTAAAAGTCGTTCGACGATGACTTTCAAATCTACCTATCCAGCTATTGATATTCCAGAGCTCGATCTCTGGACGTTCTTTTTTGAGCGAAAAGACCGAGCTTACCCGGACACTAAAGGTAAGACCTCTTTTAATGAATTGGATACAGCGTTTGTGGAATTCTGTAATAACCGTCAACAGTACTGTGGGAGGATGCCGACACTAGGAGAACATACACATATGCACAGACCAAAGATGCGGCCATTGCTTTCGGACGGGGCCTCCGGACACATTTCGGATGGAAATCTGGGGACGTCATGGCATTATTCACTGTCAATTCTATTGACACTCCGGTTGTCACATTTGGCACTCTATGGGCGGCGGGAATCGTGTCTCCTGCCAGCCCAAGATACACCGCAGAAGAATTTGCTTCCCAACTGAAAGACTGCAGTGCCACAGCGATCATTACACAATTCTCCATGCTCAAAGTAGCTCTACAAGCAGCAAAGGTGGCCGGCATTCCACGGGAACGCATCATCCTCATCGGCGATGTCCGAGATCCGGAGACTCGAGCCAGGCATTTCACGGACATATGCGGCGGCCCCAATTCAGGAGTACAGGAGAGACCTCTTGTAAACCCGAAGAAAGACCCCGCATATCTCATGTACTCTTCAGGTACGACGGGGTACCCGAAGGGCGCATTGCTCTCGCACCACAATATTGTGTCGAATGTGCTTCAAACCGATGCAGTGGAGGGCCGTCAACTTACGCATAACGGCGGAGACGATGGAGGAGGGGATAGGGTCCTGATCTTTCTCCCACTTTTCCATATCTACGGTAAGGAAGTTTATTCCCAAATCTAGGTACCTATACAAAATCTGACGGGTAAGTAACAGGACTGGCGTGCGGTGTACATTCTCCTCTGTACAGTGGGTTTCAGGTCGTACTCATGACTACATTCGACGTTCAGAAATTCTGCGCTCACGTGCAAAACTTCCGAATCACATATACACACGTTGTACCGCCAGTCGCCCTTGAATTGGGAAAGCTTGATATCATAACAAAATATGATCTGTCAAGTCTCCGGATGCTGAACTCTAGTGCAGCACCTTTATCTGCCGAAATGATTAAACGGATCTTCTCCCAGATCAAAGTTGGTTTAAAGCAGAGTTATGGCCTTACTGAGGCTAGCCCAGCCTCTCATGTACAACCATGGGAAGACTGGGACAGGGCGGCAGGCTCTGTAGGGAAACTGCTACCTAACATGGAGGCAAAATATATGACATTCCTGCAAGACGACACCATATCTGTGGAAGTCCCCAGTGGTGAAGTTGGAGAACTATATATTCGTGGGCCGAATATCTTCATGGGATATCGTGGGCATTCTCAACCCGCACTCTCGCCAGATGGATGGTTTAAGACCGGGGATGTTGGCTTCCAGGACATCGATGGAAACCTCTACATCACCGACCGGGTGAAGGAACTCATCAAATACAAAGGCTTCCAGGTAGCACCGGCAGAGTTGGAAGGTGTTCTCCTTCAGCATGATGCGATCAGTGATGTCGCGGTCATCGGCGTAAATAGTCCAGCGGAGGGAACAGAGTTACCACGGGCATATGTCGTTCGCAGCTCGAGGAACAGGTCCCAAAACACAAGCCAACAAGTGGAGGCGGAGAAGCTCAGCATCAGGAGGTGGTTTGATGGTAAGATGGCACCACACAAGCGTCTCCGTGGTGGAATTCGCTTTGTGGATGAAATTCCCAAAAACCCAACCGGAAAGATCCTTCGGCGACAGCTCAGAGAGCTAGCAGAGAAGGAAGAGACTCAGGTATCTTCGAAGCTGTAGGAGGCGCTCTGGTTTTGTATTGCAAATTATCCCA